CTTTTCTTTTAGAATCAATTTAATGTGGTAGAATTTTTATGATAGTATTAAATAGCAAAACGGTGTGTCATAAGAATTTAAGCAGGCATTACGCCTTATTTCTTTATCACAATTTCAAACCACTAAAAATAGTAATTATTCTACTGTTGATGCAGATCATCTTATACAATACTGCAAAGAAATTAAACAGTTGGAACGTACAAATATCTCTGGAGACGTACAATGTCTCGAGAGTATTGAAAATGACGACATCCATAGGATATCGTGTGCTGTCTGGGATGGATTTGAAATAGCCGCGTCATGGAGCCAAAATGGCGGACGATTGCGGTACTTTATATATCTAGTGACTTTACCCAGTATTATTCTATCCTTGTTGCTCACCGTATGTTAAACAAGGATAAAATGATACTCTGGGGTACTCGGGTGGTGTTTTTGAACGCAGCCAGCGGCTGTTTCACGACGCTCATATTTTGCAGCTACTGCCATCCTTCATAAATATGATCTTATATCTATATTGTACAGATCCCTGAAGAAAATCTCGTTAATACGAAGGAAATAAACGATATCACACTTAAGGATACATGTAATTTAATAAACGTAAAAGAAATATTTATTTGAATCTTTGAGATCTATTTTGTACAAACGACGCTTCACACGAAGTACATATGTCAGATATCTTGCATGTTAAATTTGTCCTTACGAAAGACCTTAAATGAAAACTAACAGCTAAATTGCCATTATTTCTTAAATAAAAAGAAATACACGAATGAACGAACACGTAATTATGATGGAATGTGTTTGCACAAAAGTTGAGTGATTTATCTTATACTCTAACATTTTTTAACGTCATTTATTATAGTAATAAGGCACATAGTCAGACTGACTTTGAGAAAGTCAGTGTCAAAGAAAAAAAAACAGACTAGCATGAACTCTGATCAAAGATGTTCTCCGCCATGGTTAATCCGCTATTGCTTCGCCCTGCTGTTCATACTTGGCTAGTTTTGACTTTAATTCGGCAATCGTGGCTTTGGACTCCTCCAATTCTTTCTTCACGCTGTCAATGTCCGAAGTATCGGTCACGATACCGCCAAGATTCCTACGTATATAGCTGTGATACTAGATAAGAAAACTAACGTACTTGCTAATAGTATAAAATTACGAGAGCAATCATTTTTCAGGAGGGCGTAGAAGCTACCTCGAGCCGACGACTCGATTGAAAACAATTTGAGGTTTCCTGCCGCAGGTGTCCTTGTTTCATGATGTTAGTGAGCAAGAAATGACATGCTGAGAATTCTTGTATTACATTTTCAAGTGAATGGAACTTTAGGTCGCTCTATGACTTATAAACTTGTCCAAACACTATCTGTTATACAAAGCCTAGTTAAGCAAGTTACGAGGGTGCAAGCTGAGCAGGTGCACAAATAGCAGAGACTAAGAGTTCGATCATGAATCTTTTCTTCGAGCGTGAACTAATGAAAAATGTCATTGACAAATGCTGAATTTGTCAATAAACTTATTCGCTTTTCACGCTAGAAGCAAAGATTCATGGTCGAGCCCGAAAAATCTAAAGTATCTCTCCCTTGAAGTTTAGATCGACAGCTGCAATATCAAGAAAAATGTTCAATAAGTTTAGTTTTTTTAATCAGGAAAGGATACTCCACAGGATCAGGTGGCTTTTCGGTCTCCTCGTAAAGCGAGACCAGTATCTTTGTGAGGGCAACCATGACGCCACACTCATCCAGATACTTGCGAAACTCCTCTCGTTTGGCAGCGATCGCCTGTAAAGCAACAGGAAGCTATTTGTCGCACCGAAGGAAAAATAGAAGGCTAACAATCGGTTGACGCAAACAGAACCAAAAGAGAACATGCATAAAAGATAAGTATATTATACAACTATGTACGACTAAAGCCTGGTCTACAATGAGTCGTTGGTCGTCAGTCAGAAGTCGGAACTATATGTTGATCCTTTTCCTTTCTGGGTGGAAGAAAAAGGACCGACATATAGTTCCGACTTCTAACGACTAACAACTCACCGTAGACCATGTTTTAGCCACGTCTTTTCGCCCGACAATTGCCGGAGAAGAAAGGTCCCCCTCGGCGGCGAACCTAGTGCACGCGCTAACGCAAATTGCCGTCGAATATTTACAAAACGTGAAGCTTCGCAAGAATCACCCGAGCTTCACGCACAAACCCGTGTGGAGGAATAAAGCAATTTCCAAAAGGAACCTTTCATTAATTTTCTGATCCGCACGGATATTGAACTGGCACAAATCGCACAGGCGGCTGCCGTTTGCCTCGGAGTAATTTCTAATCGCCCGGTCCGAATACTCGTCCCTTAGGGCCAGTTTCACAAACGTTGGTTAACTGTTAACCAGAGTTCAGTCAACGCTCTATCTTTTTCTATCTTGTTCTCTAAGAAGAGACAGAGGATCAGTTAACCTTCGGTTAGCAGTTAACCGACGTTTGTGAAACTGGCCCTTAATGAAATAATCCCTAAAGCACGGTCTGCAATAAGCTGCTAGTCGTTAGAAATCGAAATTATATGGCGATCCTTTTTCTTTCTGGGCGAACAACATATAATTCAGACTTTTGTCTGACGACTAATTTATTGTAGACCGGGTTTTAGGTATTTCTTTTCAGAAAAGCAGAAAAGCTCCCCCCCCCCCCGCCGCCCGCGCCTACCTAACCCACGGAAAATTTAGTGCGCACGCTACGCAGATCGGTGTCGAATATTTTAACAAAACGTGAAGCGTAATTATAGCCGATGCTCAAAGCTCGACGAAACGGCGGCACATAAACGACGCTTGTGTCGCTACAAATCCGACACGAGGCCGGCGATCTTGTCCGAGCGACGACCGACTGAACGCTTTATTAATTGGATAATTACCATCGTGACGGATTTCCGAGTGAACGATTCTCTCACTCGAGTTTCTCCTGAGAGCAATGGTCCGCGAGAAGCACGGCTCGTAAGTAGTCGTAACGGCTCAACAACGCTGAACGAAATCGCAGTCCCCCGTTCCCCTTAACAGCCAAACTAGCGTCTGTCTCTTATCACCGCCGTAGTCTATAGCTGCGTTCGGGGAGATGCTGGGAGCTTTCCAGCAAACGACACAAGTCAACACAAATGTCGTTCTGTCTTTCTTCGCATTCGATGAATAATAAAGACAGAACGACACTTGTGTCGACTTGTGTCGCTTGCTGGAAAGCTCCCGCTATTTAGCGCTATGAGCGTGCTCTGTCCTTGTTACTTGCGAACGTTGAACAAGGACAGAGTACGCTCATAGCGCTAAATAGCGGGTGCTTTCCAATTGCAATATCCCTAGACACTTTCGTGCACATGGCGACACAAATGGCGTTCCAATTGTCACAAATGTCGACACACCTCTACACATTCGTACTCAGCCTGAGGGCTACTAGTCGGCTGTGTAAACTTGTGTTTTCTAGTGACAAATAATAGTTACTAAGTACGGCGGCTACAAGTGGTCGGCATATTCCTTCGCTACAACGGTTTNACTATATAAAAGGGAAAAAAAGAAGTGAGGTTACGTCTGATATCATTCTGGCGCATAAGTAATACCGAAGTGGGAGGAGGAAAATACGTAAGTACGGCACACATTTTTTTCTTTTTACTCAACAATGAACAACGGCAATATTCAGAGTATCATTGAGGTAATAAATATTTTGAATCAACATTAGGTGACGCAGTTTCAATTACCACCATGGATTAAAAATACCAAGCATGGATACTATACTACTTTGTGTACTCTTTGTGGTATATTTTGTTCCAATTGAGTCGTGCACATCGCGACACTTTGTGTCTTCTTGTGTACGTTTGTGTTAAAAAGTGTAAAATAATTGGAAAGCACCCAGCGTCTCCCCGAACGCAGCCTATGTTCACACGGCACTCTAATCGAATTTAATAACAACCGTAGTTAAGGGGCTGACCAACCACAGTCATTCCATTCTTCTGAGGAATAGTTGTGATTGGCCAATTTTATAACTACAGATGTTATTAAACACGATTAAGGCACAGTATAACCAGTATGCCCACTCGCTCTTTTGTTTCACGTTCGCGCCGATCCGTACTGCGCATCGGACATGTTCTAGTTATGACCAATCACAGAATTTTTGCACGTGTGTTAGTGCAAAGTCGGTGTGACATTGAAAAATTTGCAGTGTTGACGAATAACGCGTCAATACTTTTATACGTTGGAGCAAGTAATTACATTAATTACTTTTATTAGAACATTTTTTTCATAGGCCATTTCCATTTACAATAAATAATGTACGCTAGTTCGTACGCGCCTTTCCTGGATACGATTCTGAAAAGGGCCCAGGCACTTTTAGCCGTTGATACACTGTTGGGGCGATTAAAAACATGGCGGAAAATTGAGAACGCCCAGATCAAAGGTGCCGACAGAGAGTGGGCATACTGGTTATACTGTGACCGTATGTTAAACAAGGATAAAATGATACTCTGGGGTACTCGGGTGGTGTTTTTGAACGCAGCCAGCGGTGGTTTCATGACGCTCATATTTTGCAGCTACTTCTTCTTCCCTAGGCGGGCGGTAAATTTAGTCACGTGACTATATTTGACGCTAAATCGTAGCGTCAATTGTAGATCAGGTGACTTGATTAAAATCATTATGTAAGAAGAAAGGCGTGCTACCGCGCACGACCAATCACAGACACTTCCAAAACGACGCCATATTGGGAAATATCAACCAATAGCATCAATGCCTTCGCAGCCGTCATCTTCTTCATTATCTTCATCTTCCTCCTGAGATAATATAGCATAATTATCTACATCTCGCGCATTGATGCTATTGGTTGATATTTCCCAATATGGCGTCGTTTTGGAAGGCGCAGAAACAAACCAAAATTGGTTCACGGTGAGAGCACACCTTAGGCTTGTTTTCTATTGCTGCGCTGGTGAACTAGTGCAGTAAGCTAGAATGAGAAAAAATATACTTGTCCTACTCTAACTTATTGCACTAGTTCACCATTGTAGCAACAGAAAACAAGCCTATTATCTTCTTACATCATGATTAAAATGACTCTGTGCTATGATTGGTCAAATCTGAAATTTCGTAGCATCACATTGAAATTTTATTCAATGAAATTTCAGATTTGACCAATCATAGCACAGGGTCATTTTAATCCGGATCATTTTGATCTTCTCGCGAAAGTAGCTCAGGTGACTTAAGGCTAAATCGTGATTGGCTCTCGTAAGCAATCCAGTAGGCAAAATAGTATCGTGTGCGTTAGCTTTAAATATAAACTATAAAGCCAACAGCACACGATACTATTTTTCCTACTGGATTGCTTATGAGACCCAATTGGGACGCGAAGTTTCGATCGAGTTGTTTACGGCGCTCGGCGAAACTAGGACCGGTATTCATATAATAGTCAAATCTTATATTCAAGACCGTCTTAAGATCTGTCTATACATCCAAGAATCAAAGCGCTAGCGGAATTAATCCTTCTGACTTTGTATTATTTAGGATAATAGAACTTATTTATCTCATCTGAGAAGTTTGGACATGAATTATAGCTTGTGTACTTTACCGTTACCGAGTGAACGGACGTAGTTGACATCCACTTTGTCAGGAGGCGCATCTGTTTCTGAGCTAGTGAGACTTCCGGTGGCCGCTCTCAGGTTTCTCTCTGATCAGACTATAAAACTTTGAGTCGAATATCATCGCGATACGTTTAATTAAATATCATTTAATCTTATCCGTACTCAATTAAATTGTAATACTTACTCATCGATATAGTTTAAATTTGACATTGATGCGTCGGCGATTTCTGTTGATTAAAATTCGTATCGTCGGATAAGTTTACAAGGAATACCGAGTGCAAATAGTAGCTTGGTGCAAAATTGTATATTTTTTGTGTTTCTTTTCCTGTCGCGTGTAATTAATACGAAGTGTTATACAAAGTGCCAAGAAGTCTCGCCAATCATCACGGGGTTTGAACAATCATGTCACGAAACGTAAGTACATACACAATAATTCCTTTTTATAATATATTTGGTAGAAGATTCATTATTACGTATGAGTACGCGCGAATTAAATCGTACCTCGTAAGTTTATCAGCAAGTTTCAACGAAAACGAATTTAATGAATTTCTGATTATTTTTGGACCGTTGATTGTGTCTTAATTAACCGTTGACCGAGTCAACCGTTACGTTATATGTATTGGCATCATTTCGTACACTGTATCGTTGTGTATGATCTTCAAATTTTTCGTTTATTCGTTTATTTTATATAGTATGGAATTTCGCCTCTCCTTTTCACAGAGGCAGTTATTTAATACGTTCATCTCCGGTCAAGAGTGAGCGAATATGTCCATGGCTTTAACAGCGTGAGTCAATCCGTGGCGGACTCTGTCGATGCTTTATGCAACCAGTTGGTATACCCTGCCGGAAATAATTTTACAAAATTCTACAAAAAAAATGTATACTGCCAGAATCTAAAAAATTTCTACGTAAATATATAAAAATCAACATAAAAATGCTAGAATCAAAACACTGTTGTTAATTTTTGTAATATTCTACAAGTATATATGCCAAAGTTTTAATTCTCTAAGATTTTGTTGTTTCTGAAATTTTTTAAACTAGTAAAGTTTTGTACTAATTTTTACAAAATTGTACATTTTCATGAAGTACGTACTACTTGTAATAATTTCTTGATTTGCGAACATTGTAAGTTATGGTACTATTTCGTAGTTACTTTTACAAAAAAATTAATGTTTCAACGAAGATACAAAAATTTCTACAAATTTCTATTTCAAGTAAATTTTTGTAGTTATTTATAGAATTTTTTTCCGCTAGAATACCGCTCGTGATAACTAAATAAAAATGGAAAAGAATTAACGAATATTCACTTCCGAATACTATTAGATTTATACGCCCAACAAATTTTAGTTGTGACGAAACGTTAATATTAGTACAGGTCTGTAGTACAATTGAGAAACGTAATTTTAACACTTCAGATAGCACAGAGGATCTAAAAAAAATTCTTTTCGAGTGATAAAATAAACTCTTTTTCAAAGAATTCGTTCTAATCCCGAGCTCCTTTTTGAATAAAAAAAAACATTCTTTTATGCTCCGTAAGAATTCGCACCGGAAATTAAGGAATTCTTTTGAAGTTCAATATTCATTTTCAACAGATAGAGTCGATTCATAAAGAATTTTAAAATGTGAATCTTTTCTTAATTTAAAATACAACGATCAAAACTGTGCTAATTTTGGAAAATTCAATTCGTTCCTGCATACCCATAAAAAATCCAAGTCGAGATATATTGCTTTAATAAATAGCTTCAATAAATATAACCAAACATAAAATTATAAAGATCGGATTATGCTCCTGTTGGAAGATAGAGGACCTTCATTAAACGATTTTTACCTTGAAAATATAGCACGGCATTAAACGGCAATCTCTTCGCAGATTTCGACAGAGTGTTAAGATCAATCGCTGTTTATTTTTTCAAGGGCTTTCCCTTCAACGCTAACGTGCGACATGCCCGTAGCGACGGCAATTCCGATAGCTGCGCTCAATCTAAATTAGATGTCCACCCGCACCCCACATGCGTCGTGCGCACGAACGGCCCAACGGACATCGCATTTAGCATTGGCTCGGGGCGCATTCCTCCTCTCTGATACACTTTATTGGGCCTAATAGACCCGAATTATGGCGTACCGAGTAAAGCGGGGTGGATCTGGACTAGTGCTGTCTAGACGACTCGCGCCTAGAAGCCTCGGCGCTTTTCGTTTCCGGCAATTGTCCCGCGTGCAAAACAAAACAGTCGCCGCGAATTAAATCGCCAGTCGTATAGGCTACCCCTCTTCCGCCCTCGCAATTAGCATAATTTTGTTGTACCCAGTATCAAACCGAATTAAAGAAATTGCTCCGATTCCAAGCGGAATTGCTCTAATTTTATAAATTACGACACGCTACCCGTGCATTTGTCGAGCGATACTACCTTGATCGAGTAGTTAATGCCCCAGTGCCACAATAGATTGACCCAATATTGGGAAATAATGTGCATATCTAATATTCCCAACATTAATCCGATATTGTAGAATGGACGCCTCCTTTTATATCTAGTCTATCTCGTATGTCTATTGTATCAATATTGGACTAATATTGCTGAGAATAGACGCATTGACTGAATAAGAGGAGGAGGTGTCTGTCTTACAATATATTGG